GAGACCAGAGGCAGGTGGTGAGAGAGCAGGTAGTCCCAGAGGGGCTGCAGCAGGCCGGGGGGGCCACCGGGGGGGCCAGCGGGGGGCCCACGGGGGGGCAGCAGATGCAGGGAGCTGAGGTTCAGCATCTCTGTGTGGGCTGAGACCAGGCTGCTGCTGCAGGGCTCACAGCTTTATATAGCGGAGTCCAACCAGGGGGACTTTGCTCTGAACCAGATCGGATCCGGGCACGCATCGCAGACTCTGAAGGTTTGTGAGGGCTGAGGGAACACGTCAGACACCAGAAGAAGAAGCTCTGCAGAACAGCCGTCCAGAACAATGCAGAGATGGGAAAAAAAAAACACCAAAGCATTTTAAAGATGCACGGACAGATGACATGAGGACGTTCTCCTCTCTGTGCTTTTATCCTCCAGATTAACAGCACAGTCACATGACAGCAGGATTGTGAATAAACAGTAAACTATGTTCAGTATGTTCAGTATGTTCCTGAAGTGTTGATCATTCCTCAGAAGTTCTTGGAAAGTAAGCACATTCCTCCACAGAATAATTACATTTTCACAGATCAGCTTCTACTTCAGTTCATTCAAATGGATTTTTTAAAATCATTTAATACATACAAAGCTCTGTTTTGGAGCTCAATTGCATCTTTTCCCAAGCAGGAAGACTTTTTATAATATTTTGTGGTGGTTTTGAACAATAGCTCCTCAGGCTTTTCTCTAATATAGTTTTCCTTTGAACCTCTTTTTTTTAGATTAATTTCGACCTATTTTCAGGGACTGTTTATTTCATTCTTGAGCCAAATTAGACCACTCAGCAGCAGTTGGATCTTTAGGCTCTTTGTCAGCAGCAGCCTGTCACAGAAACACATCATTTGATCCATTTCTGTAGCTGATGGGAAAAAGGCCAGAGAAAAGCCAGTCTGACAGACAGGAAACAGGATTTCTGAGGATTCCCAAAGAGCTGCTGGCTGAAAACTGGGCACATCTCAGCCTGGTGAGCAGTGAGGCCTTAAAACATCTGAGGAAACTGGACCAGTGGAGGACAGAAGAAGAAGAGCTGGGCCTGAAAAACTCTCTAATCCAAAGGCGTGGCTCTGCCAGAGGAACCAGAAGTGGACTCGGTTCATGTTCCCCGTCAGAAACAGCAGAACGCGAAAGTTTTCAAACTCTTTCAAATCCCCTCAAAGAACCCACTTTGGGAAACAATTTATAGATGTTTGTAATCACTTTGTTGTATTTAACGTGAGTCTCTAGTGTAAATGGGACTGGATCAGAGGCTGCTGTGAGCTGGAGCCACCATGTGGCTGTAGGACGGTGAGGGCTGATTCTGAGACTTTCCCTGAAGCTGATCAAATAGACACTGAGCTCCATTTCCAGCTGTTTTGGCTGTTAACTTCTATATTTTGATGGGAATCCAAAAACTATTGCAATCCTGATTTAGAAGATGAAGGACATTTATAATGAATACGTTCTTGTTTAGTCAAATGCGTCCAATTGAACTTTGTGTGCATGTTTACTAATGAAAAGGACTAACAGGATCTTCCCAACATGCTTTTTCCTTTTAAACATGTGTATGGATTCATGTTTAAATTCAAAATAGAAGTTCACTTTTATGTTAATTATTCTGAGAAAACAATATTAAACTATAGAAAGATAGCATTCACACACATTTTATATCTATATACCCAATTTACAGACGATCATTAATCTAAAGTACCTTTTTTTACATCTTAAGATAAAAGTGTGTGAAAACTGTGACATCACCTCACTTCTGATATACCTGGGACCCTTTCTGTGCATCATCATGCCATGGAAAATATGAACAAATCTGAAATAAAGTGCAATAAAGTGCAGTTTTTTGTGTAAAACAACATATATTTGAGTTTCTGTTTGCACATACAATTAGTAAACTTCGAGTATTCCTATTAGTTTGAACAATGAGGGAACAGCGACCCGTTTCAACCTGTGGGCTCATCATGTCTTAAACCCGTTCAGAGGCGCATTAAGCCCCTTTTGCTTTATAGTTTCAGCTATAAACCTACAGATTTGGCCCTTTTCCCGTTTCCATGGCTTATTCTTGTGGTTATTCTGTGTTCCCCGTGCTGGGGCCGGCTGGACCCCCTCCTCCCGGCCGCTCTGAGCCGGCCGGAGGTCCGACGGGAGGCGGCCGGAGCCCTCGCCGCCTCCGGCCGCCTCCTGACCGGATTCTCTGCCTCAAATTCAATCGGTTAACTTTAATTTCTGCGCAGTGGCTTTCTTCCGTTTTTCCATGTCATTTCCTGTGATAAAAAAAAAAAAAAAAAATGGTGGTCACAGCTCGGGGAGGCGAGTGAGTCGGTGCACACAAAAATCTGGGCTGAACTTTGCATCGGCGGGCCGCCGGGACGCCGCTGGCCGGGGGAAGGCGCTCCGCGTCCGGCCGGAGGAGGGACCCGCGGGGCCGGCCCCCCGGGGGGAACACGCTCCGGGGCCCCGACGCGTCTCCTAACGAGGTGGGTTTCGCGTCGGGTGGCCACTGTGGC